GGGGCTCTTACTTGAGGGCGATGATGACGAGAACTATAAGAGCGCTCCCACCGGCAACACTGTCTAGAGTATCAACCCACCAGGCGATAAGGGGCGAGCTATTGAGGATAAATGTTAGCTTCAGGGATGTGCGAAACTTTTACACGAGAGCGATGAAGTTACTCGGCGGTGATGTACTGTTCCCAGTTTCCGGCAGTAAATCCGAGGACAATAGCCCCGGCTAGAGAGGATGCGCCGCTGGCAAGCATAGCCCAGATCATCGCTTTCTAATAAGTGGCAATATAATGTCAGATGGTGGACCAGCGACCTGAATATATTTTACGTCAGACAAGGGGGGGATACATACGGGAGCATTCGTGGCGGGATCCTTCATCTCCTCTGCCAGGTGCAAAATACCATCCGTGCCATAGAGGGCATACACTGGCGTGTAAAAGCTCATGATACCAACCCACCCGACGTTTGTATAACCGGAAGAATTGATCAATTCCGTAAAGACAAATTGTACGCTCATCTTGGGCGCCATGGCAAGGAATGCGACGGCCCATGCAAAGAACCCCGCGAGCGTGATGACGCCTCCTATCACTGAAATCGCTGGCAAGTGTTTTTGGGACATGGAAAAGGGTATCGATAATAGGAGGAAGATCGTGTAAACGATCCATGTAAACCAGTTCTAAAGGAAAGAAGGGAGTGGCAATCTAGTCAGCTTTCGTACTTCACAACGCGAACACTCCGAGAAGAGGGGGCGTACCGTTATTGCAAAGTCGGGGTGTGTCAGGTTCACAAGTCCACCGACAAGTTGAGCATTGTTCATAGCGCATCCAGCTGAAGTGGCAACCTCGGCGAGGAATACGATCCATCCTATAATATAAGATAGGACACGACGAGCGCTGGATGACGGGATGTTAGTGATCACGATTGGAGACTGCAAAATCTAGAAAACTCACTTGTTTGGTGCCAGATACTTGGTAAAGGCCCTAGAGGTGATTTTTTTTGTTAGCACGCTGGGTTCATGGCCCCTTGATGTACAAATGTCGCAACTTACTGCTGCCCGCCTGCGTAAGGCCAAACGGAGCAAAGTTCGCCAAGTGAAGCCATCATTAGGCATTGACCAAGCGTCACAATGATTCTATTTACTCATCACATCAGCTTCGCCCATCTTTTGAACTCAACATGTAGTGATCGCAATACGTGGGTGGTTGTTGATCTTACGTAGAGTAGATGAGCATCATCGGTCCGCCGACGGTGAAAACTGTGTCGTAGAGGACAACGTTACAGGTCCAGCTCGCCATCATGAGGACTTGATAAAGGGTTGCTAATCACGCATCAGTGAGTCTCTACTCTCTTATCAAAGAGATAGGATGGAAATACTCACCAGTCCATATGTTATAAACCCGGTGAAGGGCTTCACCATGGTTCTGATCAATGGTTTGGCTTTCGACGCGAGCTTCATCATGATCACTATTCAGCGAATCTTCCTTCTTCTCCAAGTCCGTCATTGTCAAAGATATATTTGTCGACTCACGAAACAAGAAGATAGAAAAGCAAGAAAACGGGGATGAAAGTAGATAGGGGTATCAGAATCGGGAGATCAAGAGGACAAAAGACGGCACGCTTATATGAGATCGATCACCGAATTGGCTGAGATGTGAACGAGGATCATAACCGTCTCAGGAATTGACACAATGCAACGTGCTGGAGGCATATCATAAATCTGGGCTAGCCGTTGGCCTCAATGCGAGATCCAATCACCGGGGCCCGGGGGGGGGTTGACTACGCCTTGGCGGGCAAGCGGGTTTGAATGAGGAGGGGGTGTGGATCGTGGGGACCAAAATCTGGGGTCTATACCCCATCGCGTAAGACTATCCGGCCACGATTTCGAGTCAATAATTCTCACTTTAGCTTCCAATCTAGGAAAAGCGGCATATCTACCTCCTGGTTCGGTATCTCGTTCCGCGTACGTTGTACTGTGTGCGCATATTCCCTTTTGCACATTGCGTTGGACTGATTAGTCCATGTATGGTTTAACTTGTAAGCTGATAAATGAAGCCATACAACCTCCATCTTCAATGAACTCATGGAATGGTGTTAATATTATTTACAACACCTCAGATAAACTTACTCCTTTGTCTCTCACAGCATTTTCGATTAGGAAGCCATGACCACTCAAGAAGGATACTACGCTTGTGGCGATCGTCCCCTCCAAGAGGGCGACCTCAAGTGCGCCGGTGTCATCTCTCCGCGTGGCAACATCCCATCTGTTTCCTACGAAATATTCGACGTTATCATCATTGGCGCTGGTTATGCCGGCTTAACATCTGCGCGCGACTTGTGCTTGTCTGGTGCATACTGCAGCCTCCAAAATAAACGAGGCAGCATCCAGTTGCTAATACGAATCTAATTAGGTTTTAAAGTCCTCCTTCTCGAGGCGCGAGATCGTGTAGGTGGACGAACATGGACCGCTGAAGTAGAGGGTCATATCTACGAAATGGGCGGCACCTGGGTACACTGGGGCCAACCACATGTCTATCGTGAAATGTCCCGCTACGGGTACACGAAGCTGTTGGACAGCAATGCTGACAAGGTTGGATGCAACTATTTCACATCTTGGATCAATGGCAAGGCCAAGAATATCAGCTACGAGGAAGTGGTTTGTGATGAAAACACTACTCCCCTTACATTACCCTGAATTTATCTGACCCGGTATTCATTTGTTCAGGGCCCTGCGGTCGATAGAGCATTCGAAACATACTGCGACATTGATGGCAATGGGGGAAAAACCATTATGCCATACCCACACGATCCTCATTTCAACCCCGAGGCTAAGCAGTGGGAGAATATATCAGCAGCCCAACGAATCGAGCAGGTGCGTGCCAAGCTTAATGAGCTGGAGCTTTACACTCTGCAAAGCTTTGTGGCCGCCATATCCGGCAATGACATGAATGCCACCGGCTTTTTCGACGTTCTGAGGTGGTGGGCATTGTCGGGCTATTCTACCCAAGGCCTTAACGACTATACGGAAACCTACAAGATCCCCGAGGGCCAGTCCAGATTTGCTCGTACCATGTTCGATGAAGCTCTAGCTACCGGCAATTTGAAATATGCATTCGACACCCTCATCACCTCCATCAACGACAGTTCTAAGGCAGTAGAGGTAACAAGTACCTCTGGACAAAAATGGTCTGCCAGGCGACTCATCTCCACCATACCTCTCAACATCCTCGACAGAATCCAAATTAATCCACCATTATCGCCGGCCAAGTTTGCCGCCCATTCCATTCAACACATTGGTATCGGCGCCAAGGTACACATGGAGGTTAAGGGCACGAACCTCCGAACCTGGTCTGCCGCTGCCTGGCCTGACTCAAGAGTCTTCAGCGGCCGAGGTGATGGAATCACCCCGTCTGGAAACACTCACCTGGTTTTCTTTGCTGCAAATAAACAGGGACTCAATGCACAGGAAGACGCGCAAGACATGGTAGCGGAAGCCAAGAAGCTTCATGAGATGGACATCAAGAAAGTGGTACGTTCCCCCAATCATACCTCACCAATATCATCAACGGTCATATATATATATATATCTCAGTGACTTATTTATATGCGATGCAGATCTGGCACAATTGGCTAGAAGATCCCCTCGCTAAGGGTATCTGGTGCATGTTTCCTCCTGCATACAGCTTCAACCATCTCGACGCGCTTCGTGAGCGTCACGGCAATGTGCTGTTTGCCAGTGCTGACTGGGCTCTGGGCTGGAGGGGGTTCATTGATGGGGCCATTGAGGAAGGTACACGAGCTGCCATGGCCGTTATGAAGGAACTTGGCTTTCTTCGCCGTGTCGCTCCCGCGTTGTAAGGTTTTCGGCATGTGGAAAACATCGAATATATTCAAGAATAAAGTAAGTCCCAAAGGGATGCATGATAAAGAGGCTTAACCCATCTAATATATAATAGGGCTGACATCCAAATTAGAGGGCATTTAGGCATAAAAGATACCGCTTAACTAACGGTATAATTACTTTATAAGATAAATCAACATCTTTCATATGCTCCATCCAGTACCGCGCGAAAAACTCTGCCAGATAATATTATGCTCTTACTTCTTATAGCAAACATAACTAATATATAGTAAGCAGATAGAAGAGATAAATATTATATTTTTTAAATATATATATTCTTTAATATTTAATAGAGGATTATAACTAATAGGGAAGACTAGTATTTACTTATCTTAGAGTATAGTATTTAGACGCTATAATGCGACCAGAAATCTGCATCTTCGATCCGGGTACTACAGAATCTTAATCGCTTTCGCTGAAATTTCTGTCTCTAACTTCTGGAACCCTAATACTATAGGGTCAAACGGCGGTCCCTATATTACTATTACTACTATTACCGAACCCTAATATTCGGCTTCCAAGATACTATACCTGGAGCGGCAGTATTCTCTTTATAATACCTGAAGGAGCGTATAGTTTTTACAGCTCGCGGATATAAATAGTTCTTTTACTGAGTAAGTAATAAATATCCTCTTATCATGATACTTCTTAGTAGTAGCTATATATAAGAACTACCGCGCGGTATATAAGACCGATCTAGGTATTATTAGGCAAATATACTACTTTATTAATATTAATATATATAGAATATATTTATAAATAAAGTTTAAATATTCCCTAAACTAATACTAAGAGATTTTCTTCTTTTTCTAATAATTAAGTATTTCTAACTTCTACTTAAATATTATAAATAAAGGCCTCTATAATAGATTATATAGTTATATATACTCTACTATCTAAAGAATAGAAGTAATAAAAGTATTATATTTCTATTATAAAAAAATAAAAAAAATTACTAGAAGTAATATACTTCTTATACTCTATATTTATTATATATATATATTTATTTATTAAATAGAATATTTCTTTAAATAATTATTAATATAATTATCTATATATCTATTATTACTAGCTTTATAATATTTATATATTAATAATAATTTATATTATATAGTTTATAATAATCTGATTATACTATTTAAAATAATACTCTAATTAGTTTAATTTTAATCTACTCTAAATTCTATTTAGTATAAATTATCTAATTATTATATATTAATAACTCTTATTTAACTAATTATCTTATCTTAATTACTATATAATAATAAAGAAAATATTATAATTACTATAGTTTCTCTAATCTAATAGTAGAATTCTATTATTAATAATCTATTTACTCTAAATAATAATAATAATATTATAAATAAAAATAGTAGTAAAAGTAGTAATAAAAATAATAATAATATTAAATTTAAACTCTTATTTTTTTATTTTTATTTTAGAGATTTTTACTATATATAAGAAATATTCTAAGATCAGATTATATATAACTAGCTCTATATAATTTATTTTTAACTAAGTTTTAATTTATATTTAATTTTTAACTTTATTTTTTTACTTTTTTATTTATATAAACTAAAGTAAGATAATAGTATCTCTAAAAACTCTAAGAAGAGCTTACTAAATATATAACTTAGTTATAAGCTCTAAAAGAGAATACTTATTATTTATAATTAATTATAATATCTCTCTAAGCTTATTATTATTAATTACTAATAACTAGATCTCTTCTTATAATAATAATAAATATCTCTAATATTATTATCCCCTATAGCTAGAGCCTAATTATTATAAATAACTAGATCCTTATATATATAATAGTTATTATTAATAATAACTATTAGAATCTTTTTTTAGATATTAATTATTTAAATCTATAATTTATTATAGATTTATTTATAATAATAAAGCTATTTTCTCTTATATAGATCTAGTAGTTATATCTACTAGAGCTATTACTATATCTAATAACTAGCTAATAAGAAGATATATAGATTCTAACCTTCTATATACTTATAGAGAATTATATAAATATTCCTCTAGTATTTAATAATTATTATAATCTAATATATTATATATAGTACTAATAGATAATATACTAGTTTAAATTAATTTAGATTAAAATAGCTTTTTAAATTAAATAAAAAGTCTATTTTAATTAGTATTAGATAAATAGAAAAGAATAGAATTAAATTAAATTATTAAAAAGTTTATTAGAATAAAAAGTTAAATTAAATAAGATTAATAAAATAGTATTTAGAATATAGTAGATTAATTAATCTAATACTACTATAGATTATTTAAAGAAAATTATAATAACTAATTATAAAGTTATTATATACTAATAAAGACTAAATATAGTTTATATAGTATTAAACTCTTATAAATATAAGTTCTTTAGCTTTAAAAATATCTTATAATTATATAATAAGAAATAGTTATTATTACTATTCTTATAAAATAATAAGCTATTTAGAATATTAATCTTTAGATTTAAGCTTAGATTATAATCTAGAAAAGAAAGCTAGAAGTACTATTTAAGCTATTACTATTTAAAATATTTAATAGAATTATTATAGGTCGTCTGTTGAGCAGCGAGATCCCTGTCTAGGATAGACCAGGACCTTTCCCTCTTGTTTCGGTCTCTCCGCCCTTAAATTCTTGTCTCCATCTTACCCTCTTCTTTCTTAAGTCAAGGCTGCTAGGTAAGTGGTCTTCAAATCCTCACTAGTCGGCCACTTTACCTTCTGCTCATCTTCCGCGGCACCTCTACCGCTGCCTCCACTGGATATAAAACGATGGATGATTTAGATTATAGAGTTCAGACCTAGCACCATACAATAATTCAAGACGTTACCTACCAGCAGAGGTTGATAACATGTTTGGCCAGAATCTTCTAGCCCTCCGATCATGCATTATGGAAGACCAAGCTATCAACGCCGACATCATTTAACGATTCAAAATACGCCATCCCGGTCCGCCGGCAAGTCGCAATCTAAAACAACTACGAGGCCAGGAATATCCCGAAGGAAGCTGTCCACAGGTCGGCGCAACGCCGGCGGGACTAAGGATGGCAAATACGGCCTGTGTCACGACGAAGCAGTATTTCTTCAAGTGGCTCTTGCATGGCTTGGGCTTCAGACGACAACTCGAACTAATCAACATCAAAGTCTAGACGTCTAAAGTGAATTCATCGCGGGTGGGTTGAAGACTAGTAGGGTACTGGAACATATAGTGCCATAGAAGAGAGCTTGAGGCAAGGATACTCCGTAGGATTTGGCAGAACGCGGAAAGATCGGCTCACCTACCAACAAAAATTATCCGTATCAGAGTTATCTTAGGCCAACAAGATAAGAAGCCTCAGAGAATTTGTGATTACTGTATGCTATAGATTGTTTTCCATAAACTAAAAGACAGAAGGGGGAGTTGGGGCTTGTTTCAATCATATCGGATCAAGTACTACGCGCTCAGAAGGTGTCATCCTACCAAGGGGAGGACTTCGCTGCTCTAAACGTCGCTTTTCAATATTACCATGCGCAATGTCGGTCAGGTTTTTATTTGAAGCCTTGCCATTGTAACACCGATGTTTTTGTCAAGGCCACCCAAGTCCCAGCCAAAGCTACACCTGTCCCTCAGGGGCCGGCGAAACTGGTTCTTGGTAAATCCGAGGACCGGATCTGAGGAGCTATCTGGACCTTAAAATAGAGGAGAAAACTAGGTAGCTCCAAATTATGCTCTCCTGGGTCGTCTTCGTTCTACCACCTATTGCCTCATCGATGCCCAGTTCGAGGTAAGACGATCCAGCGGGCCAGCTTTCTTTTTCTTAGAGAAGTTAGAGCGGGGAATCAGTCCTCGACCCATAATGTATCAATACCTGACTGATTGAAGACGTGAAACATAAGTAGTTGCCGTGGTGGCCACTGATTGATGTATATATAGAGATCTGTAGCTGGTCGCGATCTCATCAAAGCAGGTGGAGTCTCAATCCGGACCGGACCAATCAGAGTTGCCATGCTACACACAAATCTGGGTGGATCCCCAAATTTGGGTGTAGCATGGCTGTTCTGATTGGCCAGAGCGCAACTGCATGTACCCACCTCCGTCGAAGACAGACTTAAGAACTTGGATTTTCCTATGTCCTTTGTCGGCCAATACTTCCGCGTTCCTTGGTCTTATGCGGCATTGCCCTGTTCTCTGTAATTTACTTTGGCTCTAGTTCCTACACTGGTCCATCTCTCACACAATACCCTAGTCTCTCCCGCTCATAATGAGGAATTCTCCCAACGAATTGAACGTGCTACCAACCGGAGCAAAAGGCTGCTAACACGACTGCTGCCATTCAAAAGGGCGTTTGGAGGAATTGATACGTAATCCGGATATGGGCATGCTTGAGCTCCAGGTGAAGTGGCCTTCTAGTGCCAGCACGGCTGAAGAACTACCCCGTGACAATACGAAGGACAGCTTAATATGGTCTTGGGATTTTATCGAAATGGCAGAGGTTCCATTCTACGATGTCTGGAAACCCCAACATGTTTGCTTTATAGAATAGGGCATTTAACGTGTTATATTAATCTGAAATGACCAGTGAATCACAACAACCATCCGGCTCCCAGCTTGGAGATGATGCGTTCTAAATATCCCCAGACACCGCGAGGCCACTCTGGTTTGTTATCCCCTGTAATAATCCAGTCGCATCTGCCACCCCTGAATAGAGGAGAGAAGTTATGGCCGTGGTTCGCCTTGTCATCAACGGTGACGCCCATTTCCCCCTCGTCGGACTCCATTGCCCAGCGTGAGTTAAGAGGCCAGTCTTGTGGACGGGCGGCGAAATCAGCTTCATTGTATTCTTGTTCTTTGATTCCCAGTAGCTTCTGCAGCTCCAGTTCCAGCCAAGTGACTAGAGTGTAGTGTTCTTTGAGATCAGCTGCGATGTCAAGTAGATCGGGATAGACACGCAGACCCCAAGGATAGAATGCAGTGTCCCAAATTTGACGGAACAAGGAAACGGAATGACTCTCCTGGTTACCGTGCGGCAAGGGCGACCGCTGCTGGTGCCGTCGAGCCTGCTCTGACGGCGTCGTTAGCCAAGCCTCGTGAGACTCTCCCAGGAGAGAACCGAGGCTACCCAACAAGTCGTTCTGCCTGGCCTGGATAAACATTACCAGCCGCAACCCATCCCTTACTCGTATAATCATGCTTTCTAGGCGTGGTGTCGCGATGTCGATCAAGAAACGGAGAATGCGGTGGAACAGCAGCATCATGCATTCTACCTCTTGAAGCAAGGCTGTGTGTCTCTTGTCGCCACTGGCAAGAATGATTGGGCTAATATCATCGGTGATACGCTGAAACCTGGGTAGATGGCGCTCAAGAAGACGAATTCGGCGTTGCATAATTGGCGGCAGTTTCTCGATGTGACGGAGATAAAGTAAATAGGGCTTAATGAAGAAGGACAGAGGATTTGGCCTTTGCATGGAGCTAACAGAATATGTGGTGTTCCAGTCTGCTAATGGTTTGGAATTAGCCCCAATCTCATCCTCTCCCTCGTCGTCTAGAATCAAGACGGGTTTCATGGTAGCTCCGAGGACAACTCTAGTGAGATCCTCGGCTGTCATATTATGCCGCTGAGCTGAAAGGAAATGAGAACTTGGCCGCAAGCTAGGATCGCAGGACGTCAGTCGGAGTTTTTCCTTGCTATACTTTTCTACTTCATCGTTCTCAAAGATGAAGGCTGTATCCTGTTTCTCCTCACTATACTCAAATGCTCCTTTATGACAACCAAAAGGCGGGGTCCACGTCTGCTCGGGCCGAGCGTCTCCAGCCAGCTTCTTAAGACATAAGAGCCGAGGAGCATCCGAATCATTTACACGAGGTTTCTCGTACTGTTTCTCGTGCAAGTAGTGGACGCGTGCGAGTCGGCGGTAGATTGGCGGGCATATGTGGTTATAGAAATCTCCAAATTGAAACTCCATTGCTAGAAAATGCCGGGATATATTGCTTACACGCCCAGAGTCACCAACCTTACCACTGAAATCTTTGTAAGTCCACTTATTAGGGCTGTCTGGGTCATTAAGGAGGAAGCTCATATTGAAAGGATTCTCCTCAAGCCCGGTCGTATTAGGGTGAAGCTCATAGGAGAGGTCCGATAGACTCTCCAAGAAGGCATTGGAAAATTTATCAAAAAGGCCAAAGCTGGATATCAGATCCTCGAGAAATCCCTTGTCTGGGACCAGCGAGTTGGCCGAATTATTTGCTGATGAGGGGGTTGGGTTAAAGATGGGGACCTCTGCTTCATGGATTATAGACAGTAGGCGGGGATGATGGGCTGCAATCTCGTGTTTATAGAAGGTTGATTGGTCTCCAGAGAGCACAAAATGAGGGAGCAAGGCAAGCAGGACTTCTGTCTGAGCCAGGTGTTGGAAGACATCAATGTAGTCGAGCTCGATCCAGGCACCAGCAAGGGTAACCAAGCTAAGACGAAGCAGCCCGCCAGCTAGGAGCGGCTTCACCAACTTCGAGAGGGCAGTATAGACACTGGGGGGCATTGTGATGGTGACTAGGGAAGAAACTCATAAAAAACTCACTGGGTGAAACACAGCTAGCTGATGGGCAGTGGGCGGCCAGGGCATTTATGTACTACCTATCCACCTCACCGTGCGCAAGGTACTATATATAGTATGTACCTAAGGTAGGTATCAATGTATGTAAGGTTCCGTGGTAGCATCAGCTATCAATGGCAGCCGCCCTGATGCAACGTGCAGGTGGGTATGGGTTGCTTGTATCGCTCCACATGCGCTACTATAATGGACACATACATGTGCAAACGCGGATTAGATCGCTGCCTACAAGGGGGGCATCAATGGAAGTAGGATGTAGAGGGGCGTGACTTTCTCCCTCAGCGCCTGTATGAATAAAGAGCGAACTGAATAGAGGTGGAGGTCCGGCGCCGGCGTCCCATTTGCGGCTTGCAGGTGGTGGCGCGAGCCTTTGGATGAATGCTTTGTCTGTCCCTTTAAGGCTACCGTCTGCCTCCGCACGTCCCCCCATCTTTATCCCTTGTTCTATCTTTTTCCTCCTTCTAGTCAAGTTCTGTCACCTTCAAGCAACAGCTACCCACCGCGATGCCAGAAGGCGAAGAGCGTTCTGCAGCCTTGATGGCTCGAGCCGCGGTCGCCAAGAGAAAGCAGCAAGAGAAGAACAGCATGTCTATGCCTCTCCAACAGCCATCCAGGAAGTCCACACCCGCCGAACGTGGAAGCAAGTATACCGAGGACAAAGCCACAACAAGAGCCAGCAATGTGCCCTCCGCGAAGGCGCCGACCAGCCAGGCCAGTAGCACGCTCCTTTCTCCCCCCCGACAGTCTACTCTAGACTCTATCGGTAGTACGTCCAGGAAGAGCGCGACCATGACAACTGCTGTCCTAGCTCCGCACCACCATGTTCCATCTGGGTCGCTAGACAAGAAGGATGGCAGTTTCGGACTGCAAGCAGCCCAGACCAAGGTCGAAAAGAGAGCCGAGCAGAAGCCAACAACTCAGTCCTATTCCCCTTTCTATAAGCTGCGTAAGTTAGACGGATTCTCTTTGTCCGCAGAAGTGAACGGTGAAGCTAACCACTATTTCAGTCCTACTCCCACAGCACACTGATCCCTCCTCCCCGTATCTACCACCAACGACATTGTCCCCCCAGCTTTCCAAAGCCACATCCCAACAAACTCTACGACAAAAAGGAGACCGAGATTCGCGGGTTCTCCATGAGGGCGGAGAGCTGCATGAGACGCAGCGGCGGTCAGGCTCAAGGGGGCAGCGAAACTCCAGACCGTCAGCACATGCCAAGACGCAGCCGCTGGTTGAGGATGCTGGTGATCGCCATCTACAAACCCTTCTCAAAGGGAACTTACGCACTTGGTTCTATTATCTTTACGGCAAGATGACTGGGATTGTACAGGCTAACGGGCTTTCGGTCTCTAACATCCTCTCAAACCTCCAAGATACGCTCTACCAGGTGATTGCCAGTGTCTATGCCATCACTGCTTTTGTCTGCAGGTTCATATGCAGGTTCATAAGGGTACTGACATCGTGGCATAAGCTGCTGGGGCTCTTGATATTTATCTGTCTGTGCGGTTATGCTATTGACGCTGTTCTCAGTCTGCCAGGATTTCGCCAGATCCACACATTTCTGGCCGTGTTGTACCGAGCCTTGGGGCAGGAATCAACCTCCAGTTCCTCAACATCTCTAGATCAACAGCCACAAGCTAGTGAGGCCTCTATGAAACTTCGGGGCTACATGGATCAGATCAACCAGCTCCCTTTCAGCTCGGGAGTACTTTATAGACCTCTACCCCCTCCCCAAGAGGAAGAGGAAGGAGACGATGGATTTCAGACTATTCCGGTTTATTTGCAGCTTATTTCTGGCTCGGCAGCTGTTACTGACAACGCTATATGCCAAGGAAACAAGATCCCTTGCGACGGCAAGGAGGATTCGGGAGACGGCTGCTTTTGTCGCATTCAACCCTTGGTCAAAGCAGGCCAGAACGAGATTACGCAGCCGTCAGCACCCCCCTATTCCGAGGCCAGCAATAGGCTGGAGGTTCAACTAGAAGACCAGTGGCGGAATTTGTATGGATCCATCTACAATGCCTCGTCTAGATATACTATCTTGTCAGAATGCTTAACAGCCGAGTCTCAACAGCTGGCTGACCTTGTCGAGGCTATGACCACGAGGCCAGCGGCAGACCTTCAGCCAACAAGGTTTGCTCAATGGTGGTTATATCTATCTCCGATTACGACACGTTGCCCTCGAAAGGCGCTTATTATGGAGCGTATCAACAAGTTGCAGGCCATCATGAGCCGTCTTCATAGCTGCCTCGCACAGTTCCACGGTCCCTACAAAAGGGGGATTGCACAAGACCCCATCATGATCCAACTCGAATTGGCCAACGCTGCATCCTTCAAATACCTCGAGCACTACTTTTCCGAATCACCCAGGCCAGAGCAAACCTGCCCACTATCCATGCCACAAAGCCAGGCTGCCATCACTGCCTGCTTGAGCTTCGATCAGGCTAATCTGGCAATCAGCCTTCATTCAAAAGTTCTCACTCTAACCAGCCGCCTGCTTTTCTTAAATAACGACCCCAGGTCCTTGAAATTTCTCAGGGAATCCCTCCAGGATATTAAGGTGAGAGTGGGGCGCGCCGACGACAGCATCACCCCAGCTAAGGCGCTGTTTTATGAAGATCAGTTAGCGGAGATTATTTCGGAATTCTTGAAATCCTCTGCCGAGTACTGGATCTAGATGAGATAGCATACTTGTCACGGGCTGGATGTTTTGTTTTTTGGATCAAAGTTGTTAGATATGCCAGCATATAAGCGAGCGTATGGCCTTAGCTATAGCCGCCGGCCAAGTCTATGTAGATGCCTATCTGGCGGGAGAAAACTCATCAGTCGTACTTGAGAAAAGGGGAAGGCAGTTAAAATCTGTACTGACCTAGGTAGAGGGAAGCAAAATTGATAACGATTTGTATTTGGCGCTTCCATGATCAATCGATGAGGAGCCTTGTGCAGCACCGTCGTAGTCTAGTCACCCACGAGCACTCCTTCATGATATCCCGTTTTATTCTCCTCAGCGGAACTAGTACACTTTATGTAGAAGTAGAACATATTTTATTCAAGCTAAGTCCCTTGGCTAGGGAGACACTTGCCTGAAGGCAGTGATTGTTATTCCCACAGGCTAAGATCATATCGCCCCATTCTCTCCAGCGGCCTTAGCTGCATATACAGGTAGCCTAACAGATTACTGGCCGCGTTTTACAACAACTCTCATCTTAGTACCTCACCCTACAAAGTGTGGGTGGAGTTTTGCAGGGTTGGATATAATCGATATAATCCGTAATTATGCTACTTGATTCCGGTTTTCCTAGCCTTCATCATCTCCAACCTACGGTCCCAGAGAGCCCAGAAAGGAGGATGACAAAAGCCAGAGGTTGGGGGAGGTTGGGGGTCTTTGCCGCGCGTCCATGTGATCTATCTATCTAGGCTGGACATCTAGGGATAACTTGTCATACACAGTCGTACAAGCGCGTGACAGGCTTCGTGGCTTGCAGACGGGTGACTGCAGGCATGCATCTCTCCTCAGTCACAACAAGGATAAATAAACAAATAAACAAATAAACAAATTCTTAATCCATTTTTGATGCATTGGGGTTTGGGATTCCTCCCATCGCCCACTTCAACTTTTTCTCTGTCCCCTCTCTCTCTCTCTCTTTAGACACCACGTGCCCGCTCCTTGGTCCTAACAGCAGGACCATTAGGTGCATTCCTCCATATACCGTTGTTATTTCAGCCTCATTCATCTACATTTGGCTCCTTGCGTTCAAAACTACACCCACTCGACCATATTTAGTCAGCGTTCCCTTGTCCCTCTTACTCATCCCTCTGAGTTGAGCCAGGCACGCGATATCATTCATCAGCCCACCATCATGCAAATTCGTCTTAAAAACCCGACCCTGGTCTTACTTCCCAGTGCCATCATTCTTGGCGCTGCCCTCCTCTTTGCAACATTGCAGGCGACGTTCCCCTCCACATATACTCATACTGAGTTGCAAGTCACGTTGGCCCAGGAGCCGAGCGAAGCTGTCGTAGGGCTGTGTATACTCTCACAGCGCTTGGCCAACTATTTCGTTCTCGACGCCGCGGCCTTTCAACCAGGCGGTCACGGCGCCAACGGCGGAGGCCGAGAGCAAGAACCAACCCTCTTCAGCATCCTTAAGCTTGATCCATTCAAGTCTCCGTTCAACGAGGCTGAAAAGGCATGCCGCAACCACAGGTCTTATGGCAAACAAATTACGGACACCACTATGGACACCGTCTTCCGGGCCGGGAACAGAATCCTGGGGCGATGGTCTCTCCATGGTTGGGAAAATGAAGGGACTTTTGTCATGCTTGTTCAGGAAGCAATGTATGGACTGATCAGGGAGGATACCCGATGTATCTACATGGATTGACTTGAACGGAAGGGATATTGGAACATCAATTTGCTACAGTGGCAGGTGCGCGACGGGTTTCATCATGTTCGCTGGAAGAAAGAATGCAAGGGTATCCTCCTCGACCTTTGAGAGCTCTCAGTAGCCCACTGTATCTCTATCAAACGAAGCTCGCATAGATACTCTAAGAGGGGAAACCGATAGTAGTGGTGATTGAAGTCGGAAAGGTAGAACAGGGGACTTGCGAAAGGAGCTATCAATTGACTCTCAAGACTTGAATGGTCTCCTTTTTTGATCGCAGCTTACTCGTATGAGTTCAATTACAGGTTGGTCAAAGTAAGAGGGTAGATAAAATCAAATCAAAAGATTTCGCATGAGCGGTCGTCTTCCTCTCTTCATTCTAGCCCCTGATTTCTTCAGCTGGAGTCTTACAGTGACCACCAGTTCTTCAAGCTACTGAACCCTGTTCCATGGAATTCTGCCCCATCGCGTTAATCCCCAGGGCTATCACAGTCGAGCCTGCTCGCGAAGTCAATAGCGAACAACTGGCATCGAAGAATGCACGATCTGATTAACTAAGATCCTATCTCCCCGGATTTTGGATCGCCAAGTTCACTTCCCAATGTCACTAAAGAGTCAGATTTATCCCCGCTCATCAATAATCTATGGGGGAATTTCAGCTGCAGAATCTGGGGGTTGAGGAGGTCCTGTCGGAGTTCCCGAAACGCCTCAACAAAGAAACATGCCTCTAGTTCAGTCATCTTGGCATAACTTCTCCCATACAACTATTAGCACACGTAGATAACTCTATATTCAAAAATTGGCTGTCTCACCTTGAGGAGGTGATGGGCTGCTCCAAGAATAAACATGACGGAGCATTCGTCAGACTTAGATGAAAATCCTGTGGTTGAACATCCCTAACGGGGAAGCTGATCAAAATGCCAAACTCAAGTTGTTCAGCAATAGTTAGGAGCCTGCCCCCATCTTTGAGACATTCTTGGAACACCCGAGGAGCCATATTAGAACCCTCCATCATTGTATCGCTCGCTAAGGTTTTGGCAGCTTTGGTTCTTCCCCTCACGGCAAAAGACCTTTCCTGATGAGTTTCTTTCTTGTTATCCCGACGAAGGCGATTTTTCGCCTTCCTTGCACCCACCCTCTCCGTTTCTATCTCCTGGACAAGTTGACGGTGAGCTCTGGCCAACAGAGCAAGCATTACGCGCTCTTGTGCTGCGTTGAAGTTGGCTTGTGCCCGGATATTCTGGAGCTGTTTAGTGATATTTGATGCACTCCGCTCGGGGATAAAATTTGTGGGCATCTCCGGCCATGCACATTGCAAGACAAGCTCCAATACACGAAGCTTCTGTATGTCACCAAGATTTGATTTCGAGCTGGCAAATAGTCTTTGGGAATCATCACCATGGGAGGCAAGGCACTGGCTAATGCTTTCCTGTATAGTGACAGCCTGTTGCATTTCGGCAGCGAGAGCCTGGTCACTTTCCGAGTTTTCATTGTTCGTTTCGATGCATAGATCGTCCTGGGTGATGGCAAACTTTGGGCAGGATCTGCCGCAGGGGCTACGAGTGTTTCCAGGGTCCCATTTCTTGTCGGCATAGTTCACTGCTTCTGCCTTGGTATATCCCAAAGAAAACCCTTGATGGTAGGTAGATGGCAGCGTTACCACAATCTCGCCCGCGCGTTGATCAACAATAGTATACGGGATACCCCATTTGTCCAGCTCAGTAGTTGAGATGTAGATGCATGCATGGCGTATAAATTGGGAACAGGGTAACAGGCTCTTTCCTCCAGGCTTGACTTGCCGCAACTTATCTTCCAACTCATTTGATGCATCTGGAAAGACACATATCCAGATTTTTCGACCTTGATGAAGAAGATTAACAGAGCAAAGCTGGAAGTCTTCAGTGTGGAGTAGAAAAGGCGCCCCTTCCTTGTGAGCAGATTCGTAGCAGTATGGACTGTGTATTCCCTGAATCGCGCAGGTTGTCTTTCTCAGCTGGTCCCCGGCCAGTGGGTGGATTGGGGACACCGCTGGGAGCCCTCTGGCCCGGCGATCTGCCTCATCTGCCGCTAGCATGTCCGTCGCATAGTAGACGCCTTCCAGGGAGTTGCTGCGCAGGCGGTCATCCTGCTTCCGGACCTCTTCTTCCGCTGAAGAACATGGCGGCGAGTCAGTGGTGAAGCCGCCATTAGCAGGCCTCTCAGGGCCAAACTTCTTCCTCTGGTCACGGTTTTTGATGTGGAAGATATCGCCTTGGGGGTATGCGTGGCTTTCGTAAACGCGGCATCGCTTGTATTGGGCAGGAATGTGCCGACATGTGTGATGTTCCGGGGGAAGTGATATCTTGAAAACGCCCTTGCTGCGTACATGGGCATCGGTTGATGTGCACGCATAGGCAAGGAGGATATCAAATTCTTTAAGTTGAGATGCGGATGGTTTGAGAACTGCAACACCGTTCGCGTCTGCTTCCCAAGCTATTGTTGGCGACCCTGTTGTATCCGGCGACCGAGATAACAGCCCGCTGCTGGTAGCTACGGAGGGATGGTTTTGTCGCCGCAAAGAATCGCTACTCGGAGGTTCGTCGATGGGAAGGTTGTCAGTTGTGACTGGCGCATGCTGAAGATTATCGCCCGGGCCAGAGGCGGTCGCAGCAGCACTAGCCGGAGTATCGTTGCTCATAATATCCTCTTCCGTAGCCTCGGCTTGACTGCCAACATAGTGATGCTTCCTTCTTCTCTTAGCCGCAACGTTGCTTTCTCGGTATGCCGGTGCCGTTTTAGACCGTCGCTTGCGTATAGACTCGGGCCGAGCCGCGGCACTAGCGCTAGTGGACCGGGGTGTCGCTGGAGATGATGATGGCGAGGTGGAGGTGTTGTGAGGCACTCGCCCCTCGCTATCGGACGTGTTGTCTGGAGAGTTGAGGATCTGTTGGGCGTTGCGGATGGCTTCGAGGATGTTTTCTCGCAGCTCTCGTAGAGCTTTTGCGCAGTTGCAGGGGGGTGGATGTGGTCGTTGTGGATCGTCTAGATCGCCAAGTGTCTGGAGCGCGCGTGCCAGGGCAGCCTTGACGGTACGCAGGGGATCCAACCGGTTGGATCGGCTGGTGTGGCCCATGATTCCGCACTGAGATCAGGCTACAATTTTGTCATCGTTGTCAGCGTTGATTAAAGACATTGGAAGACAAATACGCCGGTTTCTGCCCACTTACAATATTCTTGTTGTTTGTTTGCTCTTCTTCTGCTGGACGGAAGCCGCCAGTTCGATCAGATCACATCCCATCAGCCAGATCGATCTACAGCATCCAGGATAGCTTTGAACTTCGTGGGCCAATGGCGAGGGAGGTGTGTAACAAGGTTTCACCGTCGCCCACCATCGGGGCTTCTACATCACGTGATTCAACCAACCAACAAGTATACTTGGCCAATGCCAAGTCCCAGCCCAGCCCGCGGTGATGCACCTCTGCCTGAACACTTAGCTCAGTACCATGTACGAATGTTGGCCTAGGTACCCGAACACCCAGCCCGTCCATCTGATACCCACAGGCTGTCACCCACAGCGCCTAATCTCCCGAGGTGGGGTCGCCATGATGATCCCCTCGATTCCATTCCACTCGATCACAAATATATTTGGTGGAACTTGTACAAGAATGCAATCGGGGAGAAAAGCTTTGATCATTCTTCCTTGAGCCAAGACGAAAGGGTGAAAGCTCATGAAAGCACCGTCATGGATAAAGAGCCCAAAAGGGATGACGAGAGTGCGGGTGGCACAGCAGATATGAGCGAGACTAGCGAAGCCCCTTTTCTGGGGCGATGGAAAGGTCTGGGCAGATAACACAGGTGTATTTTGGATATTCAGGGATGCTCTGGCTGCTGTGGTGTCACGTCAGTCGGAAGACCAGATCTTCTAGTTCTACGCATGTGGTCCTTGAAGGAACCATACAACGTGATACTAGAGGAGTACGCACAGATGTGGGCTACATTCATGCCACCGTGACTAGCAAACGATACATCCCCTACCTACTCGCCTCTTTCGATACTTCTGCTGAACGTTGAACCGGCTGTGGTGGTAGCACAGGGTGGCATAATCTGAACAACGCATGCATGTTTACAAGGGGAAAAGCACAAACATTGAAGTTTTCCGGAGTTTAATGGATGTGCACGGATTGATGTTCGGCCGAGCAATCGATTAGTGCACGATGATTGCACAATGCCTGCGGCAGTTACGGTACACGGCGGCAGCAATGAATAAAAGCGACTTCGACGCTTGATCTTATTTAATCTAATAAAAGAAATTCGGGCACGCTTTACGTCCTGTGAGCAGAGGACGAGTCGTGGAATAAATCGAGCCTCTTGGCCCGCAAGTTTTAACGTAGCTACCTATCTATGCATTATGCCACGGTTTATGTCTTCACTGTGTTATCTGTCATACCACACTTCATTGAAACTACCCTAGAGCATCCGAAGTGAAAGTTGCGTACTTCAATACCTGGCATCTGCATTGTTCTTGTACGTTGGTGATAATCCTATTGGGTACATCATCGCCATGCCTCTCCAAAACACCGAGTCCGTCTCTGAGGGCTCTCTCACCAATAGTCTGCACTCCAGTCCATGTGCCAGAGTGGCATGGACCTGCCGGCACGCCAGGTTGCTAATGCTGAAGCATCTAGCCAGGCATCAAGTTAGCAGGGACACGATCCGATATGTACAGGGCCCTCCCTCATTAACACCCTGCCTTCTGCGCTTGGAACTTGCTAACCCGGCGGTGAAATCCAGAAAGCCATTCCAGAACTAGTAAAGAGCCTGAATTTTTCCCGGCCTGGTTCCGTGGACGATACGAACGTCACACCTGAAGTCATCTCCCACCTGCTCGTCCTCTTTGGTCAGCTTGAAGAACAAGGGGCGGTCTTGTCCTTCACGAATGGAAAGACCTGGGGGGCCAAGTGGCAGGAATACACCAAGACTTGGGATGATGTTCATTGGAACGGGGATACATACCCTCCACGGGACGACGCGACGGGTCCTTGTCCATTCGACCACGGCCACGACCACGAGAATGACAATGAGACGCAGCACTCGGCTGGTGACGACCGGGCAGTTCCCTCCCCTTTCGACGATAGCGACGATCTGAGTGACCTCTCGGTCCAATATACCGTAATGCATGATCGTTGCGAAGATCTCATCGACATGACATCGAGTCTCAGCTTGGAAGGCTCAGTCATCAACCCTTTGCCATCTCACGTTACTGCGCAGTCACCCCGAACCGTCCTCTCCGCCGACTCTATAGACACCTTTGCGGGCTCCGCCAGTAGCTATATGCCGACCTCTGTCCAGAGACCACAGCCGCAGACTGGAGTTGGCCGCAGCCGCTGTCACATCGCTCCCAGCGAGGACCGGTTTAGTTCAGCTGCATCCAAAGACGGCCCATACATGACCATGCCTCCCCAACAGCTCAGTAGGGTCGAAGAATGGGTCGCTCAACTCGATTTGGGGGACAGGAGCCAAGGTTCTACAAGCTCCATCTGTGACCGTGGGGCCGGACGCGAACGCCAAGCGATGCAGACGCCTCTATCCTCCACAGGAAATGCCATGGACATAACAGAGAATAACTACAGGCGTCTTTGCATGGCCATCGAGGAGGTTGGGGGAGCCAAGACGGAGCTGCTTCACCTTTTCTACTCTCAAGGGGAAAGAGCAATTGTTTCGGTGCGCGAGCATCTAGAAGGCATGATGGACACCAGTCTCCGTCATGGCCGCAGCACGGAGGACATTGGTGCCTTGTTTCGTTCGATGAGAGCCAAGTTGCTGAGACTCTCAGAGGCAGATTGGGATGCTGCAGACGCCGAAAAGGTTCGAAAGAAGGAAGCTCAGTTCGGGAGTGCTAACCAGAGGCTGCGCTCTCTAGAAGAGAGGGTTCGTCTTTGGACAGAACTGGACAACTAATGCGAGAGGACAGGGAAGTCTAGATTGCCGTGGCATACTTTAGACATTCAATTGATAATTCATAGCTTGGTCTTGGTTTTCGCTTTTGGGCAGAATGCATAGACGCATGGATAGAGATAAATGCTTAGTAGATCGTGGAAAAAAATAACTTTGTGCTGAAGAGAGCTATTTCTTATTTCCATCCGCCTCATTTTAGATCAAATATCACTTCGCTCATCTCTTACGTCCAAGGTCATTTGCCAAAAATGTCTTCAAATTGCCTCCTTCAGCTGCTACTTCAAAGTAGTCATGTCGTTTTCGATATCCCTTACGCTGCTTTCCACAGCCTACTTCCCAAGACGAAGCTCGTCGCTCAATTGTAGGCTACGTAGTTCCACCTCGACTTGGCCGACGATATTTTCAAGAGCCTGTAGCTGCCTCGTAGCTCTGTATCTGCTCAGCCATACCTCTTCGCTTCTATAATTGGCTTCGTGGGGCATCTGGTCTTCTCGCTCTCTGGCTGTCAGGTGTCTGTGCATGCGGGAGATCTAGGATTGATTCATGTCGTACATGACACAGGCCCTGGCCATCCTGAGTAAGAGATTGACCCATGTAGGCATCAACATAGCCAGTTTGCAGCTCTCGCTGCTGCCACCTGGTGTTTGCAACGGCAGACGGCAGATGATGTCCAGAGGTGCTGCAGGAAACCATCCATCTCCGACGTAAAACCATTGGGGTTAGTATCGACCAATGAGGCCATCTCACTCTCCCATCTGTCCTTGGTGAGCGCTATAAGTATTTCGCCTTTAACACCGAGGTAGAGGAACAGTCTCAATTATCGGGGTGCGGGGAGGTCGAGCGAGGCGATGTAAATGTCTATGCTGACGCCGCACATGGACTAACGTACACTGCTAGCAAGGTTTGCTGTGGCATAATTGGAAGCATATAGGTATCGCAGTCTCACTTCTGCAGAGTTTGTGGGACAGAGGGCAAACGTGTCAGATGTGAGTGCTTGATGGCCGAGAGGGGCTATGTGATATTCTAGGAACCTCGCACTTCAAGCTGCCAAACGCAACGTTTCTCTTTTTCCTTTTGGCGCAACACAATTACGGCAGCTACATATCCTCCGTTTTTATTCTCTGCTGCTTTCTACTGTTGTCTCTCCCACTATGCTCCAGTGCTTCCCTCTACATCTGCTGTTTATTCTCTACTCATATGCCCCATCCTTCATCCTCTCCCCAACACACATACACCCGACACATACACCGACACATGCAACCTATTCTTGTGACGAATAATGGCTCCAGAACTAGGGCATTACACGGACAAGGTTAGTCGGGCCCCTATCGAACTAGATTTATTAAGATACTAGCTAAATCAATATAGGTATTCTGTGAGGTTCCGGTGGTTGAATACTTGTCAAAGGAAAGAGGGAGCCTCCGGTTCTGCGGCGGATGCAAAGGCTTTCTCATAGTCGAGATGCTCCGCCTGTTGCTTACTGGAAGTGCTCTGCCAAGCATGGCAACCGACAGCCAAACCCAAGATTACTTGTGGTTTAGATTAGGCCCTGGTCGTTTCCCAGGCCTCAAGCGCATGCGCAGACTCTTTAGCAAGATACTGTCGCATGTCGAGACCGAGCTAACGCGCGGCTTGTGCCATGCGCTTGGAGAACAGGAGATCAGCACAGTCATATGGCTCGACCACAAAGAGACTTTGCAGCAACATCTCGAATCCCTTGAAACTACTATGACAAATGATACCGACGCCTGGCTATGGATCAAGCGATTTGGAACCGAGACAGATAACGGCGGCGAACGAGAGCGACAGGATGACACTCCACGCCAAGTGCTGGTACATGATTCGGAGCTTCTGGAGAAGCTATTTTCAGCCCTCGATGCTCTCCAGCTTGACCATACGGCGGTGTTCCAGGCATCTCTTACACTTGCTGAGGCTGAAACCAAACGCGGCCTCGCCAAGGCGCATCAAGATTTTGCTCGTTCCCTTGATTCTTGGAGGAGAGCTGAAGAACAGCTGAGGACGGCGGACCTGAAGGTCAAATCGGCCGAGGCATTGCTTAGACAAGAGGAGGTTATTTTTCATGAGAACGTGAACACATTAGTAGAGACAAGGCTGGAAGAATGAGAATATTGTGGGTTAAAGGGCATGGGGTAGTTGCGTTGTTACTGTCTCTTCGTTCGGACTATTTCTATCTCCGCCTTCGTTTCCTCTCAGACAATGCCTTCATTATATCATTCTATCTCTCTGTTACCAAAGCCCCAAGGCGGCGGGGATGTCCTCGCTTGCACACAGGGGTAAACATGGTAATTGTGAGGGATGGAAGTAGTTCCTACAGCTCCAAATTAACTTCCGGGCCCTTGCAACTCTCATCTCCGGCTCACGCTCCATCAATGAGTGGCCTTGTCTCCCGTCCGCCTTGGCGGTGAGAATCGGTGAATCGCACTATGCCCGAGTACATGCATGAAGTAGTCTGCATACGTTCCCTAGCGTCAGCTCGTGTCATGCATGAAGAGGAACTACCGGTAGAGGTGCCTAGGAAACGGCAGAACGGTGCCAACGTCGGGCAGTCCATCCTCCCAGAGAGCCTAGACCATCAAAATCACAAGTGGCTTGCGGTCTGTACGCACACGCAGTAGAGAGGGGGGGCCTGTGATTATCATTTGTCTGCAGGCTTCCATCACGGCATGCCACACCACAGGCCTATCGGTAGGCCATGCTATCCCCTGCTAAAGTCGAAGAGAGGGATATTTTGATCTGAGTTGGTCCTCTGAAGCCAATATGCTCCTCGCATGCATGCCACGTGATATTTTTGCTAGGACAGACAAGTGTGCGCATGAGAGAGTGACATCAGACAAGGTAACCGGGGCCCTATTCTCGTCTTGGCCATTGACCAGAGAATCTCACGGCTCTCATCCCTTGGCGGATGCCGGACTACTCCAGCCGTGTCTTATTAAAAAAAAAACGTCATCGCTATCAGCAGTTAAAAACTATTTAGGATAGGAATAACAGGAACCAGTTCAGTTCCTCGGTCAGTTTCATCCACAGCCGCACACAGAAAGGCACGCCGTGTCGCAACGGTACGGCCTTCAAGTTGTGCTCCACCGTCTCGATAAAACCACCCCAAACTGGCATGTGATTCAGCGTCCTAGTTGTACCAAATTTGTATTCCAGCTCTGCCGTAGGGGTCTCATCTCATAGTCTAGTGCCCCTCCATCTACTTAAGCTTAAGCGGATCCACCTGCAAGCACACATGTCACGATGGGACGGTGCCCGCGGCTAAGACTTCACAATCCCTAAGAGCGGCGAGGCCGTTGATGGTGATGTCTGTCTACCTGGGGTAGATCTGGTGTTGTCTTGGCTGGCTGCGCGGTTGAGTCACGCCGGGCTAAATGCAGCGGCACTCATCTGCATGACCGAAGCTTGCGGAGCTTCCTAATGGCGGCGACGTGATGAGACAACCTGTATCATGGTTCTTAGTAAGGGTTGCCCAGTCACTCGAATGCGTCTGGCCTCGTCCCCTCAGGTTCCGTCCGGCTTGGCCTGCTCATGGCGTAGACATGCATGTACCTAATTATGGCGGATTCGACCCCTGCCTAGTCGATCTGCTTTCCGATTGATCCCAGGGGCCAAACCATAACAATCGCCCTTCACACGGGTTGCAGGGATCACCCCAGACATGTACAGCGGCATCACAAAACGAAATTGGCAAAGTTCAGGTAAGAGAGGGGACTCTGATCTCGGTAGACTGAGAGGTACCTACCTCTATGGATGTAAGTACCTGGCCCACTTGATCGCCCTACATTAATCAGTGTGAGGCTTTACGTTATCATCTACTGAGGCTTGCAGGCACAAGTCCCGGAGCTGAGTTCAATTGTTCTATGAACTCATTGTATGCTCTATCATTGTCGCTCTCTGTAGGCATCCCCTCTGTGTCTGCTCTGTGGGTTCCTGCCCTCTATGGGTTAAAAGACAGGACGCTTTACATCAAACCAGCGCGACGTTCGAATCATAGTTTCTACTTGATTTTCATGAATAGATAAAGCCAGAAGCATAAGTTTTATGATCTTTGCGTGTTATCCTAATCAATATATACGTTGCCAGGGCTTATATCGATTTTATACCTCTAGGTAGATATTTTCATGGTCGGATGGGTTGGTCGAGTGTGATGAAAGAAATAGATGATTAATAATTAATGAATTGGCCATTTTATTTGCATTAAATTAATATGCACGATTCGCTTAAAAGGAGTGTGCTGCGATGACGGCTATAATCTCTAGATCTGCTGTAACCCTGTTGAACTCAGTTAACTTTCTTTAGCTATTACAGCCTACTCATAGTTCTCACGATTTTCGCTTCGCTAATAAGAACACGCCGAACCGAAACAGTGACATCTGGTCAAGGGTCCCAAGTTGTAAATCCAAATGGTTCGAACCTAATGGCGTTTCAAAATAGACTATGGCAAAACCTACTTATGATGGGCGAAGCAGAAGGAAGGAAGAGAGAAGGAAAAGGGGGGGAGAGGGGGGAAGAGGGGGAAAAAGAACTAGATTTGAAATTGAAAGTTGAGAAGCTACATTGATGCGATGGAATCATGTATGAACTTATCCACAAGAACTGTCGATGTCTTCCTAATCCACACGATCTTGCCCTCAGTTCATGTCATGCAAAATTTGCTCTTCTAATTCCAAGAAGCCTTGAAATACAAGCATGGATTCCCCGTGAGCGAGAATAATACGATTCCTTGCGGTAAGCTTCACAAGAAGCTCGCCACCAATCAACCATTGGGAGGGGATAAAGAAATGGCGCGTGTAGCTCTCAGCCTCACGAAAGCCCTTCAGAGCGGAGCACACCCAGCCCTTCCCGTCAATGAATAAAAGAGAAGATTTGTATAAGCCGAGTATGCGTTTTATTCCGCCCTCAATGTGTCTGGAAAAGCAAATTGCTTTTAGCTGTGGGTTGGAATCCAGGTTTGTACCCGCAGTGACAACTGTAGACATATCCAGCAGCGCGAACGCAGTCGAATGCCGGTTGCCTGTATTAATCGGGACTGCATTGACAAGAATGCCACATTCCAATCGACTAGCCCAGTTTTCCTCAAATATCTCAGCAAAAGGTCCATCTAGTGAGATATAAATGCCTTTTTCAGATGTGATTCTCTCCAGGGAACTCCATTTAAACAGACGAATGAAGCCCTTCTGAAATAAAACCAAGGTTTCACGGTCTTTGGGGTGGGCTAACCATCGTTTCTGGTCTTCAGAATTCTCCAATCTAACCCTCTTGATTAAACCACCAGTGGCTTCCCGTAGCTCTGCTACACCCGAAGTGGCAATGAGAATCGCACTTCCTCCACGATTGATTAGAATTTGGACAATGGGGTCCTGTGCATGTTGATCAATCAAACATTCATTTGCTACCCACTGGCCATCTTTGAGCTCAAGTCGGTTAACGATATACCTGTTTGCAGCATTGACACTGACTAGCAGCTTAGAGCCAGAACACCATTCCAGGTGCTTTATAGCAAACTCGCTCTTATACGAACGCAGGTCTTGCGATTTACGACCTGTGGCCGCATCATAGACGGATATCACCCCATTTTCACGCCCACAAAAGAGCCAATTGTCCGCAGATGCTGCGAAGCACGTTATGTGTTCTTGCGTACTGAATTTTTTGGCAAATACCAACTCCGGTTTCTGGTTAGACTCTTCGCTCGAGGGATCACTTGAAGAGTCATCCATGCTTTCTCCCTGAGCGAGTATCGCAGGTTCCCAGGCATTGCAGAATTTCCCACGAACATCGAAGAACCGTTGTCCATTAGGAAGGAAACAAAAGTCACGGATGATCGACTCTACATCCGAAATGCGATACAATAATTTGAGTCGATCCTCAAAGGAAAATATATGGATGACACCAGAGTAGTCGCTTGTAATGAGAATTCTCCCATCAGGGGAAGAAGTCATTGCCCGAGCATCAACATCATAGACAGAGTGTTGGGTCAAGGTCCAAGGATTGCAGATGACGATTCCAACTGAATCATAAGCGATAGCAAGAAGCTCAAGGTCCTGAATGGGATTGAAAGCCATGTCAAATACTTGTGGATGGCCATATATATGTTCAGTGCCTGGTCGATGAAAAACCCCAACCTTTCGGCGTGCATCTATGTCCCAAATTACAACGGGTGACGTTCGGTATGTAATAGCTGCCAGTCCGAGCTCAGGGGCCATTCTCACGCGCATAGGAGGCGTTCCGGGAAGAATTTTCCTATCTTCATCTTCAGATTCGGAATCTGCGCCATGGTCTAGAGGCACAACATCCAACCGAGATCCGTCCACGACTGATAGATGAAGGATGGTGCTGCCTGTCGTAGCGAAAAGGAGCTGGTCCTCTTCAAGGTTGAAACAAACGCTGAGTGGCATCATTGAATGTTTCACAGTTTGGCCCCATATTCGGTTCCAATCGCCATTCCAAAAATTGATCTTTCGTGCTCCAAAAGCGACAAGTGAGAGTGAGTTCACACCAAATCGTAGCTGCCTGACTCTTTCGCCATGTGTGAGCGTTCTGATCAGCTCCATGGTGAAAGAGCTGTACACCACAATTTTGCCAGTCGATAGGCCGACTGCGAAATATTGGTTGCAGGACGATAGTGCAGTTGCTTCGCTGTCTTGTTGGATACAGGCAATCCGATCATCCCACTCATCCACTGGCGAACGACCCAGTAATTTCAACTGAGAAGCTTGTTTTGCAAAAAGGGTGTGGATTCTAGAAGTTGGCGGGCTGAAAACGGGAATCATGGAGTATATGGAAGATGGAAAATCTAGGAGATTAGATCCGAAAGCGGTGACAATGCGAGCAAGCTCGTTAACCCATGCTTCCATGAGTTGAACATGCTTGTCAAGAGGAGAGCGCTGTTTTCGCTGATGTTTAAGGGATATCCTCAGGCGGTCCGCAGTCCCTAACATGACTTGCAAGCGCCCGGCTCTCGCAATTCTCTCGATCCAGGTTAACACATTTCCTTGGAGAAATTCGGCAAGGGCAGCCATTGGTGCATCTATGTCGGTTGCAGAGCGGGAAAGGTGAAAAGCGAAGTATGTATCTGCGTAGGAAGTGAACGGCGAATCATTTTTGTGCAGCAACGACGCCGACGACCTTCTTCCTCTCGGAGGCCTGTACTCCTTTCTGTTGAGATGATCAAGACAAATCTCAGCTAGGCGGGCATGGGCCAACCCACTGTCAACCCAGAACTCAGACTTCTGCTGCACTACGAAAGAAGTCACAGTCTGGTGCATGGTTTGAACTTGCAATCCGTCATCAACCCGAATTAAATTCCCACACAGCCTTCCCAGGCGATCATCGAATATTGTGCGATCTATGTCATATTTGACCGCGGCGGTTATTTCAGCTGTGGTAAGCGGTCGAGGTGCATACACCGTCCACTTTAAAACACATTTCGCCAATTCGAAGTTCGGTGTCTTGGAGAGTTCCTTCACAATACGGTGATAAAATTCGTTCATTTCACTGGGAACTTGGTCGAGAATTTCTTCCATATCCTCCTTGCTGCAGGACTTCTCAAGTCGATTCATAACCAAAGAGGCCCAGAGGAAGATGCCGTTCGACCTTTGCCTAATGTTGCGACTGATGACTTCATTGAAAAAATCGTCATCTTGGCCCTGCAGGCTACCGGATTTGATAAACTTCTCAATGTCATCCATGGACTCTTGCTGGCCTGATTGAAACTCAAATGCCGAGCTTCCCAGGCGCTCCAAGGTCTGTTGGACCTGCTCGCTTGCTCGGCTGGAAAGAAGTATTTGCAAAGGAAAGTGGGTCGGGATTTTGCAGAGGAGTTTGAGCAAGACACTTCCGCTTCCTGTAGCACACTCATCAAGTGCATCAATCACCCAGAATTGCGGTGTGGTGAGCTTCAATTTGAAAATCTGGTTTATGTAGACCGCATTCCAGACCGAGTTGTACTCCTTCAAGTTGATACTCTCTCCGCTTGAAGCAAGAGCCAAAATGGCCTTTCTGAGATTGAAATTGGAGCTGGCCATCTGAAAAGCCATTGATCTCAGGATCCGATCGACCGAAGACAGTTCTCTATTGCTATGCTTCAGAAAATAGAAGCTGCAATCGACGTTGCTCACTTCCAAGTGACGAACAATATGGGCACACATGACCGATTTTCCAGAGCCGGGAGGGCCATGAAGCCAGGAAAACCGGGGGATGACTGGATGTGGCTCTTCTCCCGGGGATGTGCTCTCAAGAAACAAGTATTTGTCCATCCAATTGCTGAATTGGACATTTTCTGTCATCCATAAGCAAGTTCCTGGCAGTTGTCTGTCCAATGCTGAAAGAAGATCTGACTCTGGTCGTCCATTAATTCCAAGAAACTTTGAAATAACAGCCATCTCCGACTTAATATCCTCCTGGCGTCGTGGTATATCTTGAATTTTCAGAGTTAGTTCATATTAAGAAACGGGCTGGATGGGGTGAAAGTAGTGAACATACAATCATTCTGTATTTCTCGTATCGTGGTGGCCATACACCTCCGGATGACGAGATAATTTGAATCTTCTGGGGTGGCGAACTTGCAAATATGACGGTGGTCGGCATCCAAATACCTCTCGTGCTCGCCAGGGGTTCCTATAAGATTCTTAGATTTGCACCTTGTTTGCGTCTAGCTGGAGGCTTGCATATTACCGATGACGGCGGATTCCTTTTCCACAATTATGAGAGAAGAGAGTCCAATTTTTGTTGGTTGAGTTTCGAAAAACGACCAGAGTTTAAGATGAGAGGCTTTAGTTTGAAAACTTTCGTTTAGTTCCTATCTTTGTTAGATTTCATGATAGGGAAACACTCTGCCCAAACGCACTTACTTGCAGAAGCTCAGAGCCTGGATGGAGCTCGTTGACGTATGTCTTGCTCCTTTGCCACCACACGGCCGACAAATATTTCGTAAGGAATTGAGACGAGCCAGCTCCCCGATGTGGAGTTGCTAGAAAATACATGGAATGGAAACGAGTCGCAAAATTCTTATAATTTGGATGTTCGATGGCGATCAAGTATGCCTAAAGATGGTACGAGGTCAGCCAAGGAATGAAGGATGAACCAACACATATTGTAGGCAGCAAACCTTTTTCACTACTAAGCCCCCCATGCTGTGCGCAACCATGACGATTGGGGTCTAATCACTGTTTTAGTCGGTCGATGGAGGGAGGTGATTCGAAAACACTCACGTCTCCGGGCTTTCCGATATTTGGGGAATTGACCATATCTTCCAACAGTGCCCTTCCGAAGTCTGCAATCCCAAGAATTCCTTGCTGGCTGTCGGACCAGTCCACATTATAACCGTAGCTGTGTATGCGAACATGTTTGAAACCGGACTCCAGTGGCAGCCACTCCTTGGGCCAAAACGAAGCTGGGTCGGCAGAATTGCACCAGGTTTTGGTAGATGAGCCGCCTAGACCGTGCACCTGGGATCAAGGTATCAGCTTTCATTATGTCTTGTTGGTATTTCGTTGGCAACAAGCAGATTTGGTAGAAGCTTGGACACGGATAGAACAAAGGCTGGTGGGAAAGGTACGGCGCAGTTGCCGCTTGACATACAAAAATGAAATCAACCCAAGGCTCTGCAGGGTCATGCAACATATGGAGGCCGAAGCCTCCTTTCCTTATTTCGCCTTCGATTCGTTCGGCATTGGCATCGGTATTCGAGTCGACACTGCGCTCTGCAGAAATCCGAAGCGATCGAAAGCGGCGAGTAAGTCGAGACAGTGAAGATGACGACCGGTCAGAGCGTGCTTCGATGGTCTGTAACCAAGTATCAGCATATGTCTCTGACAAAGCAGTAATAAAGCAAAGGGAGCCGCTTCACTGATCACGTACCCGTGTGTCATTCTCCATCACATAGAAGCCTGTATCATCGCTGGCTACAAGAAGCCGACGATGTAAATCACCTACCCAAAAACGAAGTAGCAACAACCTACTTTTTGCTCTGTGCTACGGGAAAAATAAGATAAGTAAGGTAAGGTTGGGAGGGCAAAACCTCCACAGATGCGCTGTCAGCTGAGCTGAACGTCAGCCGAACTGAACATCAGCCGTGCTTCATGCCTTATCAATTAGGCCACACCCATATTATTTTCCTGTGACTATTGACGCCACCAATTTCCTGTATGAAATGTAGACTGGCATGGAACTAGGACGAACAACAGCGCATAATATCCGTCTAGAGCTTGATTCGCAGCGGCAGTATACTGTTATCAGGCAAGACGCTAGGTAGGTAATTTAACATCTAAATCCCAGCGCTGTGTGAAAATCCGGGAGCAGGGTGCAACCTTTACGTACAGAGGGTGAAGCCATTAGATGTATGGCTTTGTACTACCAGCCCAGGCATAAGGTGTCAATGCAGGCCCTCCTACATAAAAGGGTGACCAACCAGAGCTAAAGGTATCATGCGTAATCCCTTTGGGTAAATAATGACGTGGAGCCCCCCCTCACCGGTGTAGCAATCAGCGAGTTACATTGGTCCCAATGAATAAACTGCAACCCCGCAACAATGCAGGATACTCTGACTGCATATGCTATTGTTTGATCGGTTATCGCCAAGAATGCGCAGCTACTGTAACAACATTCAGCCGTACTCATGAGAGCATTTATGCCCTAAGTATATGTACAATGGAGCACAAAGTCCCCAAGCCTTTTTAGTCGCCCTCCCCCCCCATCGTTGTGCATCCTCCCTTCCTTTTCCCTTCATTATTACGCAATAAATCCACCAATGCAACCGCCCACACAAAATACATAACAAATACAGAGGGTCACTTTTCCAATCCGAACAACACTACATCATTATGTCCTCATTTTTCGTCCAAGGGGTTGACCCATTCGGTGACAACGTAACATTGGATCAAGGTATCATGAGTGGTAAGCATGATACGGTCAGTCTGTGTCTGGATGGAGTTGACTTGATTTGCTCCAGCACTTCCTCCAGGGGCCCGGATTATATCTACAAGCCGAGCTGGCCAGAGTTTGTGGGTGGAAACAGTCAGAATAGAGGCCATGCTTCCAGATGGAAGCACCAAGGCTTACTTCAAAAAGGTTAGTCCCACATGGTTTCGTATCCTACTTCTGCTCTTAAACTCATCTCCCCTTCAAGGGCGCTACTGGAAATGTTGGCCGAGAGATGGTTCGTGGTTGCTACGAGTCAGAGAAAGCCCTTCACTCTTTCATCCCAGAATATGTGCCTGAGCCAATTGTCTGGGGCTCATATGTCTCTCGCGATGACATGCATTTCTACCTAGCTGAGTACGTGGAGATGGACGATGTCCATCCTGACGCCAAGGCATGGGCCACCGTTGCTTCCACACTTCATCGAAGAAGTATGGGCAAGTCACCTGAAGGAAAGTTCGGGTTCCACGTCGGCGGTTTCATGGCCAATGTCCCAATGTCAAACTCGTGGAGCTCTTCGTGGGAAAGTTTTTGGGCTCAACGAATGCGGTCTCTTCTAGAAATTGAAGAGGCTCGTTGTGGTAAGGATGCATCATTCACCGGCCTTAAATCCGCCCTTTTGGAGCGTGTTATCCCCCGATACCTTCGACCCCTGGAATCCGATGGCCGATCAGTCCAGCCTTGTCTTCTTCACGCCGACCTATGGCCTGGAAACATCAAGCCTAGAACCGATTCGCCCGACATCCTTTGTGCTTTTGACTCGGCCAGCTTTTGGGGTCATTTTGAAGGTAGGCCCGCATTTCCTGGAACACAAACGGATGCTTTGGCTAATAATGAAAGTCGATCTTGTTGATACAGGCCCTGGACTTTGGAATTTGGAAAAGGCTGGAGAAGCGTATAGGGAGATGGTCGGCGTTTCTGAGCCCCAGGACGAATATCTTGATCGCAATAGTCTCTATGGCATTGGTGGCATGATTCTCCGCTCAGCGATGTATAACCAGGACCCTAAGCGGCGATCCATGTAAGACCCCAGCACTATCCTCTCCTCCTTGAGCGAGGAAATAGATATTAACTTTCCAAGGTGTGCCGAGGCCATGCAGAAGCTGGTTGATAAAGTCTCTATTGCGCCCATACTGCATGGAATCGGAGAAGCCGTTGAGGTGGAGCACGAGGCTGAGCAGCATATTCTCTAGGTAATTATATAGCTCTTAAGAAAAATTATGGATATTATTTGAGGCCTCTGGGCGTATACAGCTTCATGTGCTGTGTCAAAACTCAAGGATAAAAAAAATTTCATCAATAAGTGACTCGAAATTGATATCTTGATTGACCACAAATTAACGTGGTTCTCTTTGAACAACAGTAAGTGCCCTTGGTCACGCGACTTGGAGCAACGAGAGTTCTGAGACAATCACCCATAAATTCTTTAGTCCCCGCTCTCAGGGCTCCCCTCGTTTTCTCCTCTTCGCTCTCTACCAAAAAGTGGTCAAGGTCCCCGCAAGTAATGTCGTATCCACGACCCTCACTTCCAATTTTATTTCTTCAGTTTCAACGTTAAATGATAGCATCTTTACCACTTTTACCCCTTAAGCTAATTTCAAACAGACGGTTTCATATAAAAGAAAATCGACACTGATCATTACAGGTGAATAAGCGGAACAGTATGGCTTCTGGACAGGTTGAACCATTCTCTATTTTCACCACGCCACAGAAAAGATGGATATCCTATGTTGCTGCCTTCGGCGCCATGTTTTCAACACTCAATAGCTACATATATTTTCCTGCCCTAGTTCCAATGGCTACTGATCTACGAGTATCAGTTACCATGATAAATCTGACGGTTACTTGTTACCTGGTCATAGCAGGTTTAGCACCTGCTTTCATGGGCGATTTCGCAGATCGCGAAGGGAGACGTCCTGCATATCTTGTCATGGTTGTTCTGAGCATTGGTTCAAACGTTGGGTTGGCTCTTCAAACCTCTTATCCCGCGCTTTTCGCGCTACGAATGATCCAGGCAGCTGGCACATCTGGTAAGAAGGGGCTGAACGGATGAACCAACCCTTTTGGGATCCGAAAGATGACTGATGGAACGAACTTATTGAATAGGAGCATTTAGCGCAGCGAGTGGTGTTGTCTCGGATATCGCTCCTCCTCACGAAAGGGGAACATATTCTGGAACAATCATACTCTTGTTCGTTTCAAGTCCCAACAGTGCAAGTAAAATCGTCCGCTGACAGCCACTAGCACCAATACCGCTCCCAGTTTTGGCCCTGTGATAGGGGGTGTTCTTGCGTATAAGATAGGTTGGAACTGGATCTTTTGGTTCTTGACCATACTCACCTGTGCCCATGGTATTATCTTAATACTCTTCTTTCCAGAAACACAAAGAAAGTTGGTAGGCAACGGAAGCAAGCCAGTGAAAGGAATTCTATACTGGAATATCTTCTCGTGGATTTTTCGCCACGAACCAATGGAGAGACTTAATACGCAACCACAGCCCCGAAAGCACCGCATCCCCAACCCTCTAGCATCGCTGCCGGTGCTTCTAAACAAGGGTAATTTTTGCGTGATTCTCTTTGCATCAATTTCATATGCCATTAGAATGGTGTTGCAGGCTTCACTTGGCGCACAATGTATTACTCTATACAGCCTAAACTACCTCCAAGGAGGTCTCATCTATCTTCCAGCGGGAATCAGCGGTGCTATCGGAGCAAAACTCGGAGGGATTTACGTTGATCGTCAATATGTTCGCACATATAAGAAACTCAATTGCACTTTCGGGGACGGGGAGCGAGATATAGACTTCCCCATCGAGAAGTCCAGGCTCCGTGGAGCTCATGTCATCACCATCATAACGGCCCTTGGCACGATCGGCTACGGATTGGCACTGCACTTCCACTCGGTATGCTCCAACGCACAGTATTTTTGGGGTTTTTTGCAAAAGCTAAAGCGCCGTAGCATATTTCCATCATGTTGGTTATTCAATTCATTACAAGCTTCACCAGCTCTATTATTTTCGCGGTTTGTCAATATAGATTTGTTTTTGGTAAAATGATTAGAAATTGACCAATTTCCAGATGACCGGCACTCTCTTGACTGACTTGAACCCTGATAAAGCTGCTACGGCGAGCGCAGCCTCGAACTTTATCAGATGTTTGCTTGCAGGAGGATGCATCGCCGCGCTAGAGCCTTTAACAAATCAGGTTGGACTTGGTTGGTGTTTTGGTATATTTGGCTTGCTCCAGGTTCTAGCAATTCCGTTTATAGCTCTCCTCGAGTTAAAGGCGGTAACATGGAGAAAGGAGGTAAAGTAGTATATTTATATTAGGTTCTTACTATATAGTCTTAGATTAAAGAAAGAAAAATAAAATTTATTAGTTTAATTATAAATAAAGATATTTTTTAAAATTAAATAAAATATAATTTAATTATTTAATTTTTTTTATATTATATTTTTTTTAAAAAAAAATTTAGCTATAAGTAAAATTATTCTAAGATTAAATATAATATATAATTAAATTTATTATATAGAGTTTTTTTTTATATATAAAATTAATAATTTATATTTAGATTTTCTATAAAATAATAATTAAATAAATATATTTTTATTCTAAATATAAATATTAATATTTTAAAACTTTAATAATAGAAGCTATTTATATAGCTAGATATATAAATCTAATTATAATTATAATCTCTAAAAGAGAAAATATATTATTTATTAATAATAATTATTTTTCTATATTTATTTTAATTAATTATATTTAGTAAATATTTATTTTAATTAATTAATTATATTTTATTTTAATTAATTAATTAATTATATTATTTATACTAAGTATTTATAATATATTATTTTCTATAATTATTTCTATTTATAGAATTTTAATTATTATAAATAATATAGATCTTAATAAGATAATAGAGATTATAAAAAAATTATTAATATACTAAATACCCCTAACTAGTAGTTACTAGCTAAAGGTTAACTATAGAGCAGTCAGCTTAGTTATAACTGCTCTGAAACCAGCTTTATAATCAGCCTAGTTCTATAGCTAGGATAGTAACTTAATTAATTATCTTTATAATCTATCTTATTTACAGTATATACTTTAGAAAAGCCTTTTAATACTAATTAGTAATTATATAGCAGCTATAGATTAGTAAAGAAGAAGAGATAGGATTTCCTAAATACTTAGGGAAATATAATCCTCCTATAGATATTAGTTCTATACTATAGAACTATATATAATATATAATATAATAATACTATTATCTTTTATATACTTTAAATAGTTACTTTAGAGATTACTTATTTTTCTAATAATACTATTAGTACTAGAAATATCTCTAAAGAATATCTTATTATATATACCTCTCTATTAATATAGATAGAAGTAATTAATAAAATTACTTCTCTTCTTAACTGCTTAATCTTAAGAGTTTACTCTTATAGAATACTCTCTTTTTTCTAATTTTAAAGAAAGATAAGAAATCCTTTATATCTCTATCTTACTACTATTCTAACTCCTCTATATCCTATTAGAATTCCTCTAAATAGAGATCTTTATTCTTTTAATAAGGGTAGAACCCTATTTACTCCTACTACTAAATCTATTATATACTTTAGAATTTATATCCTAAGTAAGTATAATAGTATTACTAATATAAATACTACCTATACTATCTCCCTTTAAATATAATAAAGTAGAAGAGGTTTTTAATATAATTAAGCTAATAAAGATCTATATAAATAATATTAACTAGATAAACTATCTAATCTTAATAATCTAGATTACTATTACTAGACTTACTAATATATATATAGTATAATATATATACTATTATAAATATACTAATCTATATAGTAGTAACCTATTAAGTAAGTTTATATATAACTTTAGAAGCTAGTTATTAGAAATATTTATACTTCTAAATATTAGTATTACTAAAGAGTTAAAATATATACTATAATATAGTAGTATCTTTATTAGATCTCTGAATAATATCTCTAAAATAGCTTTTAATAATATATAAGAACTAGAGAACCTATTAGAATAGCTAAAAAATATATAATTTCTTATAATTATCTTTAATTCGAACTTCTAGATATTTTAATTATAAGAATAATATAAGAAGTTCTAAGGATATAGACTACTAATACTATAATTACTCTGAGAAAGGAGTATAATCTATATAATTAAGATTAATAAGATAAAAATACCCTGGGTAAATATAGATTTAATTCTATAGATATCTCTATCTCCCTAGAACCTAATTCTAAACTAGTAATTAGGAGATTATATATTTAGATTATATAATCTATATTATAATCTTCTACTAGAGAATAACCTTAGAATAGATATTATACCTATATAAGAACTTATAGTCTTCTAGAAACTCTATAATATAAAGAAATACTTATTTAGAGAGGAACTATATAATATACTTAATATAAAGATTAGAATAATACTAAATATATATAAATCCTATAATATATAGCTAAATAGATTTAAAATTACTCTCTTTTAAATCCTTAAAGGGAATATATAGAACTTCTAATTCTAATATATTAAGAAAGAATATATATTTAAGGAGGTATATCTAAAGCTGAAATAATACTTTAATAATACTATTAATAAGTAGTAGTATTATTATAACTAGACCCAGACTAATATTATTTTAATATAGGTAAATAGAGAGAATAGAGATCTTATAATATACTAGATATTATAGAAAGTCTTTATAATCCTTATAAGGGTATAGAAGGTACTTAGAGATAACTATAGAGGGAATAATAACCTTAAAGATACTATAGTAAGAGTATATAAAGACTTAAAGAAGTTAGAAATAGTACTTTAAAGAGAATATATAAATACTAAAGTTCTAATATAAGATCTTATAATAGCTCTAGAGATAAGCTTTTTAAGATAGCTAGAATAGAGCTTAATAGATTTAATAGCCTAGGATATAATAAGAAATATATATCTTATTAACTAGTAATATAAATATATTTAGAAGTTACTAAATAGAATATAATAATAGCTCTATTATATTTAAAATATATAGAGTAGACTATTTAATAGAAACTTTACTAACTGGAACTAAGAATTATAGAGGAATAGCTAGAGAAAATACTACTTTATTTATAATAAGCCTAGATATTAGTTAATAAACTATCTATAGTAGAGATCTAAAGTATATTACTAATTTATAACTAACTTTCTTAAGATAGAAGAGGAAGTAGGAGAGAATAATATACTAGAAGAATTTAAATAATAGATTTAAGACTAGGAAGGGATTAATAACCAGTCTGAAATAGTAAACTATAGAGACCCTAATAATTATAATAATCTAGATAAGGAAGATTAGTATATAAATAATAATAAGTAATAACTAGTATAATACCTACTTAATAAGGTATTTTAATACTTACTCTCTAGAGAGAAAATCTAGAAAGAACTATAGAACCTATTATAGTTTATTATTAAAGAGAGATATATAATATAATTCCAGGGGATTATACTAGATATAGGTACTTTATTAATTTTAACTATAGATAAATTATAATTTAAAGCGCTCTAATATATTAATCTATTAATTAAACTAAATACTATAGTAGATATAAAAAGTATTAAGTTTAGAAAAGAGCTTATAGAGTTACTTAGTATAATAGAGCTATATATTCTATTCAGATCTATTATATTTTATATAATAAACTTAGAGACTTCTTTTTTAATATATCTTTATAATATAGACTATCTAAATATTAAGTTTAGGAATATAACTAATAAAGTAGTTAGAACTATAGATAGCTTCTCTATTCTAACTATAAGGAAATAGAGCTATATATAGTTCTTCCTAGAGTATATACTAATAGCTAATATAGCTTATTTAATAGAACTAGAGCTAAAATAGCTTTACTACTACTTTAGCTATCTATTAATAAAGAGACTATATTAGCTTCTAGAGAGAGCAGACTATAGAGATATAAATAGAGAGATAATAAAAAAGATTAAATACTTCTACTACTAGTACTAGGCTTATAGCCTAGCTCTAAGATACTTTAGATTTAAGTTATAGAATAATCTTAATTTTAACTATAAGATTATAGTTAATATTATATATCTATTAAATTAGGAATTTATTTTATATATTATATATATAGTAACTATATTTTAAAATATAACCTTCCTTAAGAATATTTTAGTAGATACTATATAGGAAGTATTAAAGAGGATCTAGCTAGATACTTATCTCAGACTACCAGACTATATTATATATAATATAGGAACCTAATTTATAAGTAACTAATTTTATATAAATATTAGAATTATTAGTTCTAAATATAAGTAAATACTAATTAAGGCCTATTAGTTAATTAGTAAGATTAAGAGATATTATAGACTACTATAATATATATTTAATATCTTATATAAGAAACTTAAAGAGATAATCTTAAAGAAATTAATATTATAAGTAGTAGTTAAAGTAGTTAATAATATAGTAGGGCTTAATAGTCTTATACTAATACTTCTTATATTTAGAGTATATCTGAAAGTTATTACCTTCTCTTCCCTATTATAATCTATAGTTTAAAGAGTATAAGTAGTTAATCTTATAATAAAAGTACTAAGGGAACTATATACTAAAGAGAGAACTATACTTATACTGGCTATATATAATAATCCTAATCTAATAGAACTCCTTAAACTTCTACTTCTAAGTAAGATTATAGTATAGAGAGAGAATAAGAGATAGTTTAGACTATATAGGCTATTATTAAATAACTCTTATAATATTATAATTAAAATATATAATAGACTAAAGATCTTCTAGTCTATATATATAAAACTATATTATAGAGATAAATAGATTAAAAACCTAGTTCTAGAGAGTACTAATCTAATAATATATCTAAAAGACCTCTTACTACTTATAATAAATAAGTAACTATAGAGAAAGGGATAACTAAGAGGTTTAAAGAATAAGCTAAAAGTATATATATAATATATAGTATAACTAGTTAGACTATATATAAGCTATATAATATATAAGGAGTAAGATATCCTTAAGCTAGCTAAGAAACTTTAAAAGAAAGAGGTTATTATAACCCTGGGTACTCCCTTTAAGATATCTATAATAGTAGAGATTAAATAACTTATTAAAATAGGAGTCTTTAAGTTTATATACTTTAGTTAAGAAGTCTAGAGTAGCTAGTTATTTAAAATATATATTATTAATAAGATAAAGGGTTAGAATATAAAGCTATATAAGAAGAGCTATTTAGTTATATAAAGCTATA